TTTTGTATTTTTTATAGAGATAGGGTTTCGCCATGTTGGCCAGGCTGGTCTCAAACTCCTGAGCTCAAGCGATTAACCTGCCTTGGCCTCCCAAAGTGCTGGGATTACAGGCATGAGCCACCGTGCCTGGCCTCAAAGTAAATTCTTATTTTATTTTATTTTTTTGAGATGGAGTCTTGCTCTGTCGCCCAGGCAGGAGTGCAGTGGCACGATTTTGGCTCACTGCAACCTCTGCCTCCCAGGTTCAAGGGATTGCTCCTGCCTCAGCCTCCTGAGTAGCTGGGATTACAGGTGCACTCCGCCACACCCAACTAATTTTTGTATTTTTAGTAGAGACAGGGTTTCACCATGTTGGGCAGGCTGGTCTCGAACTCCTGACCTCATGATCTGCCCACCTCAGCCTCCCAAAGTGCTGGGATTACAGGCGTGAGCCACTGCACCTGGCAGTAAATTCTTATTGAATCTTTACACCACCAAACCATATCATCATAAACATGTTAGAGTTAACCCCTGAACAACTCAGGGGTTAAGAACATCAACCCTCTGTGCAGTTGAAAATCTGCACAGGCTGGCACGGTGGCTCACACGTGTAATCCTAGCGCTTTGGGAGGCTGAGACAGGAGGATCACTTGAACTTAGGAGTTTGAGAACAGCCTGGGCAACACAGTAAGACCTCATCTCTGTTTTAAATACATAAGAAAAAGAAAATCTGCATATAATTTTTGTCTCCCCAGAACTAAACGAATAGCCTACTGTTGACTGGAAACCTTACTGATAACAGGAGCAGTTGCTTAACACATATTTTGGAAGTCACATATATGACATACTGTATTACAATAAAGTAAACTAGAGAAAAGACTATGTTATTAAAAAAACATGAGGAGGCTGGGTGCAGTGGCTCACGTCTGTAATCCCAGCACTTTGGGAGGCCTAGGCGGGCGGATCACAAGGTCAGGAGATGGAGACCATCCTGGCTAGCATGGTGAAATCCCATCTCTACTAAAAATTACAAAAAAATTAGCCGGGCGTGGTGGCGGGCACCTGTGGTCCCAGCTACTCTGGAGGCTGAGGCAGGAGAATGGCAGAGCTTGCAGTGAGCCGAGATCGCGCCACTACACTCCAGCCTGGGTGACAGAGTGAGATTACGTCTCAAAAAACAAACAAACAAACAACAACCAAAAAAACACACTAGGAAAAGGAAACATATTTACTATTCATTAAACGGAAGTGGATCATCATAATGGTCTTCATCCTCATTGTCTTCCTGCTAAGTTAGGCTGAGGAAGAGGAGGAAGAAGAGAGGTTGTTTTGCTACCTCATGGGTGGCAGAGGTGGAAGGTGAGGCAGGAGAGGCAGGCATACTGTATAACTTTCATCGCAATAAATCCACCTATGGCCAGGCACAGTGGCTCATGCGTGTAATCCCAGCACTTTGGGAAGTTGAACAGAGGTGGGTCACTTGAGGCCAAGAGTTCAAGAGCAGCACGGCCAACATGGCGAATCCTGTCTCTACTAAAACTACAAATATTAACCGGGCATGGTGACACACACTTCTAGTCCCAGCTACTCGGGAGGCTAAGGCAAGAAAATCACTTGAACCTGGGAGGTGGAGGTTGCAGTGAGTCGAGATCATGCCACTGCACTTCAGCCTAGGTGACAGAGTGAAAATCTGTCTCAAAAAAAAATCTACCTGTAAATGGATCCCTGCAGTTCAAACATGTATTGTTCAAGGGACAATTGTACAAGCTTGCTAATGGCTTAGGATGGGAAAAAAACATCCCATACACAGTCATCCTAAATCATCCAATACCAAGAAAACATACTCAAGTCTATCCTTAAAATTTATCCAATTTTGCAGCTTGTGGGGTCTTTTTCTAAACTCTTGCATTGTGATATTGTCAATCTTTCTTTTTTTTTTTTTGGAGACGGAGTCTTAATCTTTCGCCCAAGCTGCAGTGCAGTGGCACGATCCCTGCTCACTGCAACCTCCACCTCCCCGGTTCAAGCGATTCTCCTGCCTCAGCCTCCTGAGTAGCTGGGATTACAGGCGTGCACCACCACACCCAGCTAATTTTGTATTTTTAGTAGAGACAGGGTTTCACCATGTTAGCCAGGCTGACCTCAAACTTGACCTCAGGTGATCCGCCCACCTCAGCCTCCCAAAGTGCTGCGATTACAGGCATGAGCCACCACGCCAATCTTTAAGAACCTGCCTCAGGTACACCTAACTACTAAGTCAAATT